CGTTCTTTGACCTTCCCACCTTCCAAACCATAAATATTATCTCCCCTCTCTCAACTTCAAAGTCTGGGGGAAAACGTCTATCAACCAGAATTCCATATCCAGCTAAACTATCAAACAAAAATGAATAATAGACATTTATACATCAACAAAGACTGAAGGAGTTTGCCACTCATAGACCCTCTCTGAATAAAACGAAATGTTCCCAACTGCATACTCAGGGACCTATGTTCCTAGCTTGAGATCATCCATGGTAAAAGTATTTACACCATGGAAATCAGGAGATGCTACAAAATAGGGCTCTTATTTTTTTTTCTCCTGGAGAATTGGCTCATTTTAATGTGAATGTATATATGTATGTGTGCATGTTATTCACCCATATGTATGTACACAAACATTTGGAACTATAACTGTTGTACAGTTGAAACTGCACTGTCTAAAGAGAAATGAAGTCCTAATACATGCTACAATGTGGATGAACCTTGAAAACATTATGCTAAGTGAAATAAGTCAGTCACAAAAGAACAAATACCATATCATCCCACTTATATGAAATAGGGACATGTATAGAGACCAAAGCTTATTAGTGGTTATCAGTGGTGAGGGGTTGTTAGCTGCACTGGAGTTGGCCTTGACTCATGGCAACCCCATTTACAATGGGATTGGACCATTGTGATCCATAGGCTTTTCACTGGCTCTTTTTGGAAGTAAATTTCCAGGTCTTTCTTCCTTGTCTGTCTCAGGAAGCTCCACTGAAACCTGTTTGGCATTATAGCAACACGAAAGCCTCAACTGATAGACAAGCAGTGGCTGCACTTGAGGTGCATTGGCTGGGAATCAAACCCAGGTCTCCTGCATGGAAAATAAGAATTCTACCACTTAACCACCACTGGGGAGTCATTGCTTATGAGTTTCTGTCAATGGTGGTGGAATAATTTGGAAAAGGATAGTGGTATTGGTTGTGCAACATGATGAACATAATGTCACTGAATTATACATGTAAAAATGACTAAATTGGCAAATATTCTGTTATATATTTTTTTTCATAGAAAAAAGTAAATAAAAACAAAAAATATATTTTTTTAAAACTACACTGTGGTTTAGCAGTCCTTCCTCATTAGGCTATAGGGAAAAAGCCTGTGGTTGGAGTGGCTGGGACATGTGTTTCTCTTCACACTCTGGTCCCGTCCTCTTCTCTCAGTTGCTGGAATTGTATTACCTTATGACCCCCCTTTTTGCTTATCTGTCTCTAGCAAATTTGGTCACTTCCTGAAGAGCTACAGCTGCTGAACTTTTGGTTCGAATCCACCAGCTGCTCTTTGGAAATTCTATGGGGCAGTTCTCCTTGGTCCTATAGGGTTGCTGTGAGTCAGAATCGACTCGATGGCAGCAGGTTTGGTTTTTTTTTTTTTTTTTTAATACTAATTGAAGATTTATGCATCTGCAGGCTCTCAAAGTTCACTCTTTGAAATAAGACTCTTCTGCCTTGGCTATATAGATGTCAGTAAATGCTCTCCTCTTTCTGTTCATGTTGCTGTTTTACGAACTGGTGACATGCAGGCAGTAAGACTCTTCCTGTATCAGGAACAGAACTCTGGAACCTGCTGTTTGTGAATATACCTGCTGCAGATTTCCGTCTGCTGATCACTGCCTTGTCCTCACTGCCAGCGAGGACAAGTTCTGGGGTTCTGTTGGGATAGTTGAAGAGAGGGCATAGAAACAAAGGTCAGAAGACTGGGAACACAGACTGTGGATGAAAAAGCAAGCCGAGAGAGAGGAAGCAAAGTGTGGGTCAGGACTAGAGGAGTTGGTAAACTGAGGCACCAGGCTCGAGGTGGAGTGGAAGCACCCTGGGCAGGTGAAGATGAGAGGCAGGGGTCTTGGAGAGAGCCCTTAGCACCCACCTTGCAGTTCCTGTTCTGGACTCTGCTGTCCTTCTACCTGAGGCTCAGAGCTCACCTTCCTGCTGAGCTAGGGAAGACAGAAGTTTAGAAGCTGGATGCTCGCAGGGAACAGTGGTGGCTATGGGAGAAAGTTGAAGGTTTTTCATGTCTTCAGGCAGGGAAATGATTGCTTCTAGCCTGAGTATTGCTTTTAAAACTCCATGCTGTTGCTCAGTGGCTATCTTAGTCATCTAGTGCCGCTATAACAGAAATACCACAAGTAGATGGCCTTAACAAAGAGAAATTTATTCTCTCACAGTCTAGGAGGCTAGAAGTACGAATTCAGGGCACCAGCTCCAGGGGAAGACTTTCCCTCTCTGTTGGTTCTGGAGGAAGGTCCTTGTCATGAATCTTCCTCTGGTCTAGGAGCTTCTCTGCACAGGAACCTCAGGTCCAAAGGACATGCTCTGCTCCCAGTACTTCTTTCTTGGTGGTATGAGGTTACCCCTGTCTCTCTGCTCACTTCTTTCTTTTATATCTCAAAAGAGATTGGCTGAAAACAATCTAATCTTGTAGATTGAGTCCTGCCTCATTAACGTAACTCACTAATCCCATCTCATCAACACCATAGAGATAAAATTTACAACACACAGGAAAACCACACCAGATGACAAAATGGTGGACAATACTGGGAATCACGGCCTAGCCAAATTGATATAGTTTTTGGGGTCACAGTTCAATCCATATCAGTGGCCATTGCTTGTCTCCTATTAAGATCATACATGTGAAAGCACCTAGGACAGTGCTGGGACAGAGGGGCACTTGGGAAATGCTCACACAGTCATCAGGTGTCCTCCAGGTAGCATTTAAGATAGTCTGCCTCCTGCGTTATAAACATCAATTGCCATTGCTTTGATTCCGACTTGTGGCGACCTCAGGTGTGTCAGAGTAGAACTCTGCTTCATAGGGTTTTCAGTGGCTGGTTTTTTGGAAGTAGATCACAAGGCCTTTCTTCTGAAGTGCCTGTGGGTGGACTGGAACCCCCAACCTTTTGGTTAGCCAAGTGTGTGAACCATTTGTACTACCCAGGGATTCCTGTCTTGTAAGATTAGCTACATAACTCCTTCATGCTCATATTGCTTACTTAGAAAAGTACACAGGCAGTGTATCCTTTAGGATCATATTATTATTTTTTGGCAAGTCTGTGCACTTCCAGCAGGGGTCTTTCCCCCAGTCTCTTAACTTTCCAAAGTGGGTCATTTTTATTTTTAAAATTTTATTTAGTATCTCATTTTCTGCCCCTGGATGACTAGGTACTTTGAGAGCCTGGTTTTGCTGGAGAGACCATTAACAGGTGGACTTGTGGATTCAGAGAACCCAAGAGAGATCACAGGGAGAGTGAAAAATGCCCCAGGTTATCAATCAGTTAACCTAATAGATGAAATTGACTTCACTTTCAATCATTAACTTGTAATTAATGCAAAAATCTGGCGTTGAGCTGCTTCTTAAGGAGAGGTGTATGCTTCAAACAAAACTGCCTTTGGAGTGGAGCTGCAAGGGGACTCAAGGCTCAGGTACACAGGAGAGCTGACCCTTCGAGAGCAGTGATTTCCGGGGTTGCGTGCTTACTCCGGGTGCTGAGGTCAGCGTGTACACCTCACAGGATATGGTTTTGCTTTGAGAAAAGAAGCTTAAGGACTTAAGCAGGTCACTTTTGCCTGAAGACAGGAGGGAAACACTGGAGGAACTTATCGCTGGTTGGTGGGTCAGGGAATCCAGGCTTATCAGTTGGCTTCAGTTGCACCAGGCCCACTGGACGGACCCACTGTTGCAGGCCACCTCCCCTAGGAAGAGTAGGAGGTGAAGCTTTGCCCTCAGAAGAACCCACACAGGTGCAGAGCACCTCACATGAGCATCCTTCGAGGGCTCTTTTTGAGTGTTCCGCTGACTGGTTTGGTGAGAGGCCAAAGCACCCAGCACCATTTCTTCACACAAGGACGGTGGGGGCAGGGGTGGATGTTAACTTACAGAGGAAAAGAACATCAGCTGCTGACAGTAGAGTTTTGGAACATGGGGAAGGGGAATGAAAGGAGAAAGGGAAATGTTTAGTGTCTTGAAAAGTATAGTTGAAAGAACAGTTGTGCCTTCTTTGTGTTTTAACTGATGAAGCGGTCTTCTCTGGCCCTGGGCCATTGCGTTGTATCTGGCCATCTGAATTCTAATGCCTGCTGAGCATGTCTGCCCCACCGAAAGGGCCGATGCAGGGTGCTGAGTGCAGGGTGAGCTTCTGAGGAGTGGCAAAACGACTAGCTCTTATAGGAAAATAAAAGTGGATACAGGGAGGTGAGGCCAAGACTTTCAGCCAAATTAGTTTAGAGAAAAGTCATGTTTAGAAAGCTAAGTGAAATAATTAAAATAAAGACAAATGTTTGCACTATGCTCGCAGCCAAAGCAAGTTAGAGGGTGTTACCCAGGGAACACGTAAGAGGCCTGGGCTCATTCCTAAGGTGGCAAGGCAGAGCCTCTTGCGGTCATGGTGTGGTGTTCTCAGCTTATTTGTGGACATACAACTGAGATAAATCATTTATTCATGGCAAACATGGGTGAGAGTAAGCTGCTTACCCCTCAGAACCAAACATGAAGATGACAAAAATAAGATCTAAATATAGGAACAGCTCTTATACCATAGAAATGCGTTAGCTTCCACATTGGAGAGTGGTTTTTACTCCCTTTTCAAAATCATAATCGCCTTGCATGATGCCTGGTGTATAGTAGGTGCTCAGTAAATAATTACTGAAATGTTTTCTCCTATGAAACAGAACATGCCTGTTATAAAAAGTCAGGCACTTAAAAGTAAAAATAACCCCAAATCCCACCACTTACCATTTGGGACTATATCCTTTCAGACATTTTCAATGCATAAATGTGCATATGTTCTTTTACAAAACCAAGATTGTGCAGGACATGACATTTTGTAACCTGTCTCCATGTCAATAAGCATGGATTCTTTTATTGAAGGTCTGCACAGTGGCATAATGTAATATCCCGTGTAAGGAAGAATTTGTAAGTTTGTGTCGTTTAAGACTTCACGTGTCTCATACGCTGTCCTTTATTTAGCAGGTTTCTTCTGCGGAGGTACGCATTGGGCCCATGAGACTGACACAGGACCCTATCCAGGTACGCCTCCATTCCGCAGTAGGGCTTGGTTTTCGGAGCATGTGGTTGAGCACAATCTCATGAGTTTTCTGGTACCACAAGCAGATAGCCATCCTTGCCTATGCATGCATATGTATGCATGTATATGCGTAGTGTGTACGTATATATATACATATTTGAATGTGTGTGTGTAAATGCTTATTTTTATAATGTCAGATTGGATGATTAAAATTGAAGATGCAAACAGAATCTCGTCTTGAATAGACATTTAATAGGTAGATTGTATGGTGGGTTTTGAGGAAGGACAACTAGTCTGCTCAGCATCCTGCTGCAGCCAGAAAGGGATGCGTTGTAGGGGTGGAGGGCAGGGCTTTGCCGTGGGCCACAGCTGGGTGTGAATCCTCGCTCTGCCTTTCATTAGCTCTGTGATGCAGCATGTGTTACTTTACTTCTCTGACCCCAGTGTTCTGTGTGCAAAGTGGGGATGATGATGTCTCTGTCATGGGAAATTATGAGTTAAATGAAATAGCATTGAATGTCAAGAACATTGCCTGTCTCTGGATCAATGCGTGGTCACTGTTGTTGATGGCTGAGAAAGTGATAAAAGGCCCCACTTTCTTGTCCCGTGTGACTTGAGGGAGCAGGGTCCAGGGAAAGCGGGCCAGCCACCTGCAGAAGTGACCTTCCTCTAACGACAGCAGCCGGCAGGGCAGCGTAATGCCATCAGCAGCTGTCCTCGCTGCAGTCCTATGCGCCCTTCGGAGGAAGCTTGTACTGTTCAAAATAATTGGTAAATCCCCATCTGCATATAAATCAGCCTGTTAGGCCTAAATCAGGGAACCTCCTCCTTGTAAAACCTTGCTTGTTAGCATCTGGAGGCTTGTTCTATACTTGAAACGTGTTGAAGATGCAGAAAAGATGTAAACAAACCAACCAATGTGTAGATGAAAGTGAAAAACCAGCCAAGAAGATGACCTGATTTATGAGCAAATGGAAAAGAAAATAACAAGATTTTACAGATGCTTGGAAAAGGAAACATAAATCAAGGGAAAAGAAAAAAACACAAAAGAACAAAAGGAAGAGATTTAGCTTGGGAAAATTTGATGAAAACAAATTTAGGAGCAGAGAGAGAAAAAATTACTAAAATAAACATAAGCCACAACTATTTGTATAGAACATAAACAAGTGGAAAATTCCAGTAAATCATTCTGGCAGTATGTACTTTGTGCTCCAATTTTGAGTAAAGGCAGTGACAAATAAAGGAGTTGATATCACGGATTTATTCCTAAGAGCAATTTCTAGAATTTATACATTGATGCTGGGGATCACCGTTGCTTTAGATCAATCTCATTTACCTTCAGTTTTGCCCTGTGCTGTACTGGCAGTGAGTGCTCATAAGAATGTCTCATTCTTTTTCAAGTGTAGTTTGTTAAATTGCAAAATATTTCAAATATTCGTAAGTGTATGTGTGTACACCTACAGCCACTTTTATCAAATATCAACAGTATGCCCTATATATCTCAGTTTTTTATAGAAACAAAAGATTGCAGATGCCATTTAAGCCCTGTATTAATCCCTTTGCTCTTCTTCCTATTCTCTCTAAAAGAAACCACTATCCTGAGATTGATTAAAATACGTATTTGCATGTTTTACCACCTATGTATGTGTGCATTCATAATAGTTATTCTTGTTTTGGATATTTTCAAACTTTATTTGCAGAGTGTCATGCTGTATATATCATTCTGAAATTTTTCTTCGTTCAACATCATTTGTGAGAACTATCCATGTAGAAACAGGAAGCTCTAATTTATTCACTTTCACTGATGCGTAGTATTATATTCGACCATATACCAGAGTAGCTACAAGGCCTTGTGACACTGATGAAATTATGATTAGATGCTGGAATGCTGAGTGTGGTTCCTCTGCCCCTTCTCCCCCGAAAAACCCAGCTGCCTTCAAGTCTACTACTCCAATTCATGGCAACCCTGTGTGTGTCAGAGTACAGTTGTGCTCCTTAGGGTTTTAAATGGCTGATTTTTCGGAAGCAGATCACTAGACCTTTCTTCTGAGGCGACTCTGGGTAGACTCAAACCACCAGCCTTTTGGTTAGCAGCCAAGCAAGTTTGCTCCCTCTACTTTTGCGAATCAGTGACTGGGGTCTGTAAAGCTGCCGCAGAAATGCTCAGTGTCTCCCCAGTCTCAGTTGTCAGCAGCAGAAGCAGGGAGATGGCCCCTCACTTAGTTCCACCTCCCATCTGTCATGCAATTCTAACTGGGGAACCTAATTTATGTCCCTAACCCTAACTGCAAGGGAGTATGGATATTGTAGTTTTCAGCTTTCTAGGAAGGCACGTTAGAAAAAGGTTGGTGTGAACATCCAGTGCCGGTTCACCATACCCATCGCTCTGCCTTCACCAGACAGTGCCACACCGCTCACCAGAGTGATTTCTAATTTTAATTTCCAATTATGTAACACTCACTGAAGACAATGTGTTCTTATGATTTTTTCTCTCTTTTTTTTTTTTTTTAAATATTTTATTGTACTTCAGGTGAAGGCTTACAGAACAGATAGTTTCTCATGTAACAGTAACACACAT